CTTTGTTTGAAAGTTATTTAATAAAATTAATTAGCCTGCATAGAGAGAGAAGAAAGAGTATTCCTGATGATAATTTTCCACTAAAACTCCCCAAATTACCCACCCCTTAGTTTCAAAGAATTTTATTTCCTGCTTCTAATTCCTCAGTTCTTGATACATTTTACTTCTTTGAATTCTATTAGGTAGTCATTTAGCTTTCCAATAAATGCATTTTTTTTCATGTAGATTTAACTTATTTGCACTCAACTATCTCCTGACTAACATATGTGGTAAATATAAAGTAAGAAAAATCAAGTATTTGGAAGGTACAAAAGCAAGTTATCAGAAGAGCTGGCCATAGACCCCTGCACTGAGGTCAGTGTTCTTTGAATTCTGTGTTAATGGAACAATGACAAGATAGGGGAAGGGAAAGCTAATCTCTGTGAGCATCCATCTGAACACTTTTGTAAGGATTCTATAAATTTCTTATCTTCTAACATATTAGCATTTGCTAAATTCAGTGTAATTGGGTTATTGATTCTTCAGCCTAATTCTCTTGTGGAGATTAAATTTTTGTCAAAAGCTAAAATGGCATCTCTCTCTGAAGTGTTGATATTATGTACATTCCCAGTGAATTAGTGAACTGGACAAATGAATATCATAAAACTCAGCAACTCTGCCATAACAGGAAAATTCCATTGATATAAATGTCAATTCTGATGGCACATAACAGATTTAATAAAATTACAGTAATTTATTTTCACATATGAAATATTTGCAGTTACTTTAATGTACATTCCTAAGATTTTCCATATTATTATAGATAAATAAGTAAAATGAAAACAAGGCAAAATTTGATTTTCCTTTTTTGCTATCAATTATTTGTGAAAATAAACTATGCTGACTCTAATTCACAAAATATGCTTACCATTTGAATTCCTATTTTGGAAACTTAAGAGAAGTTTTGCAAGTAAAAGGGCAATAAAATTATTGTTAGAACTGACAAATAGACATGTAGAAAAGAATTTTCAAAGCTATTTCTTAAAACTAATTAGAAACATATCTTTCAAAGTGAAAATTATAGTCACTCATTAGGACACTTTTGATAGTTTAAAAAAATATTTATTTTCATTTGTTTGCCATTACCAGTAGAATTAGACTGATTCCCCATTCAAATATTTTTAAGCTGCATTACAGTCTTTCCTTTATTTTACTAATAGAAATAAAAATGCACATACACAGACATATATGTGTATATGGATATTTATATATATATATATATTTATTTCAGTGAAACATGGACAAAAACTTAGGGGAGGTTTTTATTTTTTATTTTTTTTTTTAAGGATTTATTTATACAAGAACCGGGGTACAGGCTAGATGCACGGGAGGGTGAGAGGATTCACCAGAAACAGAGTGGGGAACAGAATAGGCAGACTTACGAAATACACTGCTAAGGGGAGCAGTGGGTGAGACCTGAGAGTTCTGCTGCACCATGTGGGTCTCTCCTCAGCCAGCTGGGATTGAGCCCATGCTGCAGAGGCTGCGGATAACTTCACAGTGTGACACTCAACTGCCTGCACCACCAGGGAGGCCCAGGGGAGGTTTTTAAATTTTGTTTTCAAATTATAAAAAGAATAAAGATAGTCAACTTGTCCCATAATTTAGTGAAGTATTAAGAAGAAAATAAAATGTCACATAATTTTGTATCTCAGATAAGCCTACTCATGTGAAGAAAATAAAAATAAAAAACCCCAAAAACATGCATTTTAAATTCATGGCCAAAAACTGTAAACAGTTCAGATGGGGTTCTTATATTTAAAGCCTGAGGGAAGGTCTGCACTTAGCCATGGTTTACCAAAAATGTCCATAACAAATGCTAAAACAAAACCCACAAATGAATGTAAATCAAGATGGAAAAAATTCTGACTTAAGTCATCCTTGAAAAAGAGTTGAGGGGATATTTATATTACTAGATCTTAAAATATCAGTCTCTCTCAATTGAATCCTTTCTATCATCATGATAATATGTTTTAAATAAAACAAATGTACTTTGTATTTCTCATTAAAGCTAGAATAACAGTCACAATAAAACTCTTCCTTCCTCAGACTCCCCCAGGAACTTGCCCTCTAACTAATCCTTTCAGTTTCTCTATTCCTAGTCATCCATTCACTCTTCATCAGTCTGGCCCCATGTCCATTACTCCAACAAAAATTCTTTTGCTAAGGTTAGCAACTACTTATCCAAGGGGCACTCAGTCTTTATCTTACTTGACTTTTCAATATTGTTTAACACAATTTGTTATGCCTTTCTTAAAAAAAAAAATCTCCTCTCTTACCTTCAAAGAAAATTTCCTGATATTTTCTAATCAGAAAAATTGCTCCTTCACAATCTCTTTTGTCAGCATCTACTCTTTCATCAGCTGCTAAATGCAGAAATTCCTGAGACCTTGAGCCTGGGGTGTCTTCCACACCTTCTTCTAGATGATCCCATTCATTTATGTAGATAGCTTTGACTATCATGTGTATTCAGATATCTCCAAAGTTTTGAAATGCCACTCTTACTTCTGATAGCAGGTTCAAATTCATTAATTCAGCTGCTTCTCTGACAACTCCATGAAGGAATTTCAAACTTAACTAGTCCAAAGCAGAAGTTTATACTTTCTTTACCCCCATTATACCTGGTCTAAATTTACTCTTTCCTATCTCAGTAAATGTCAGAAACTTGGGATTTTTCTTTGACACCTCTATTTCTCACCTCATACATTTAAATCCTAAACACCATCAGTCAGCCAGCAACATATGCTGAATCTGTCATCTTCTCTCCACTTCACTGCTAGCATATTGCTCAAGCCACAGGCCTCTCTTAACTAGATTACTGGACTAGTCTCTTGAATAGTCTCCTGTATAGTCTCCTGAATAGTCTCCACTGGAATGGGCTAGGTTATGCTATAATAATGGCACTGAGAAGTCAGGGGTCTGCAACTACAAAGATTTTTTGGAGACATGCTTCTTGTTCATCATGAGTAGACTGAGGTTCTGCTGCAAATCTCCAGACTGTAGGTCCCAGGTGAATGGACCAGATATCATCTCTAACATTGCCTGTTATTGTGTAGAGGGAATGATCTCACACTGGCAAATAAATGGTTCAGCCTGGAATTTACAGTGGTCATTTTTTTTTCCATGATTCAGTGACAAAAACTAGTTATACGATATCTCCAAATGATGAGAAGGACAGGAAGCATAATGATTTCAGACATATGGTAGAATATTAGACACTACCATAATTTCCAACCAGATCCTGCTTCCAACTTTGTCCTCTTGAAACCATGCTTAACTGAGTGGTACCCAGGGACCCTAAGCTGTTAAGTGGAAAAATCCATTTTGCCCCATTCTAAAAGGGTCTGGCCATTCATAGGCACAAAGACAAAGAAAATAGACTGTTAGTATGCTCAATGATCTTTAACTGGTGTGAAAGTCAATTTAGGGAGGAGAAAGAGAGAGAGAGAGAGAGAGAGAGAGAAAGAAATAACAGAATCCTTCAGCTGAGGTCTGAAAGCTGGCCAGGAGTCTAAGTCACCTCTTGGTGGAGAACCATAGGCAGATCCCAGAGAGCTGGGATGGAAGGAGAGACCTAAAATTCAAAATGCACCCATATAATCCATCACAAGGTGAAGATGACAGCTGCTGTTGTCTCTGCCAAAATGCTTGAGCCTCCAGAACAAAAGGTCAGGAGCAGCTTCCCTATGTGTTTCTCCTTTCTCTCTCTTCCACCTCCAATTTACTGAGTTGCTCCTTCCTCCTTCCCAGCTGCTCCCCATTCTAGAAATTTGGTTCATGGCATGTTGGGAATTACACAAGACCTCTGAGGTACTGGCTGCTTGAAAGTGGGACTAGGGAAAATGGCATCTGTTCTTGTGGTGATGCTCTTCCCCCTTTTACAGTGGTGCATTCTGTAAGTCTTATAATCAATTCTTTGAAGAGTAGTCAGAAAGATCGCTTTCAGTACCTTTTTATAGCACTTAAATTAGATCCAGTTTCTGTGGCCTAGAAGGCTCTGGATATTCTGACCCTGTCTATCCTTCCAGGCTAACCACTAGCCCCCTCTGCCTGCCTTGTGGTTTCCTTATCATGTTGAATTTATACCGCAGTCTTTTCATCCTAAGACATACAGAACGTGCGGTCCTTTGCCTGGCTCCTTCATTGTGGTTGCCTTCTCATCCATCGGTTCTCAGTTTAAATAACTGCATGCTCAAGGAGATCTCCCCTGAACTTTCTACTAAAAAAAAAATGTTCTGTGAATTGAATTTGTTATTTACTTCTAAAGTTATTTTACTTTCATATGTATTAACTATTTCCAGCACTAGCCTATAATGATAAATATTCTTCTGATTATTCTTATTGCCTAATCCCTGCAATCAACTTGAATAATAGTTTTTAATGAATAAATTAATTAAATTCTGAATCTGAAAAATCAGTGATATTGGCACAATAGAAGAAATATTGATATACATAGAAAATACGATTAGAATGACCAGATCCCAAAATGTGTTCCAGAGAGATAAAATATTTTAAAGTGGCATCATTATAAAAAACTATATTAATAAAAAGGTGCTGAATGTAAACATTTATATAAAATCATTTATAAAAGATATATAAAAGAAGTCAAAGGGAAATATCAGATATGATGACACAAATAATTTAAAACTTAGAAGTAAAAAAGTCAAAGAAAGGGAAAAGAAAAAATTGAAAAGATATTTACAATCAATATGATAAAAGAGCAGATATTACACATGTATTACTTTATAATATATCCATATATGTGTCCTTTGGGAGTCCTTCCTGGTTCTGCCTGGGAGCAAAGGGAACATGAAATGTGCCTCAGTGGAAGGAAACTGTAATTATGTAGCATATAACCAGTGAGGTATAGTACTGAAGATTAAGGTATTTCTTTCCTTCCTAGTCTGTCACATATGTATTTATTAATGTTAAATTTACTCCCTTTCCCTGTTATTTTACAGAGTCCTGGTGATGATCTTAATAATTACAGGATATGGAATTATAGGAGAGTGAGAGAGGAATGCAACTGAATTTCGGAGAACTGATCATCCAGAAAAGGTTGCAGTGTTTGATGAAAGTTTAGACCTCCTAATTTGAGGAGAAGGTCAGTACATTTTCATTTATATGAAAGTTGCCTTATGGTTAAACAAAACATTGCTATTATTTGGATGTTTAAGTGTGGTGGTAGTGATGCTGTTGATATTGAGTGGCCATAAAGGTAGGTTGTGATACAAAATGCAGTGGGCTTACTACACAACCTATTCACACTCTCTTGGAGCATCTCTCCTTAAAAAGACCAAATATAAAGGACTGGAAAGATAAAAGTTACATTTATCAGATAGCCCTTCTGCTATGGTTGTGTTATGATCTAGGTTTTAGCCAAGGGACATTTCACTGGTGGCAGTCACATGTGAAGAGATGAATTATTTTGGCAAGAATGGTGACAAGAGAATGTGCTTCTTTTTGGACCCAAAGAGTGGAAACAGTGTCTTTATTTGGTTGTTCTTTGATCATGGGACAGGGTAAAAGCAGCAGCTGTTCTTTGAGTGGGGAAATTTTATCATGTAGTTCTGAAAAATATTGAAAAATCATCCTGTTCTTTTACTTCAGTTGTGTCAAAGATAAGGAGAATTAGCAATTTTCTTTAAATTAGCAGAGTACATTCTATTGTCTCTAAGAATGTTGATCAATGTAGATATTCTTGCCATGTTTATTGAACAAATAATTATTGAATCCCTCATATGTCCCAGGAAAGACCAAATGGACCATGAATGTATTAAGTAAATTAGATAGTATGTTAAAAAGTATTAAATTATATGGAGAAAATTTTAAAAGTGAAGCAGAGAAAAGAAAAAGAGAAATGCACAGAGGGTAGGAATATGAAAAACAGATTACAATTTTTAATTGGGTCATCAGAATAACTTTTACTGTGAAGGAGGGATTGAGAAGGACTTGAAAGTAATAAAGGTTAAATCATTCCAAGGAAAGGAAGGTACCTTTGCAAAGGCCCTGAAGTGGACGCTTGCCTTGAGAGCATTTAACAGGTGGGAATTCACTGGTAATCTTGAAAATAGCAATCACAATGTAGTAGCATGAATGAGTTAAAGAGAAATTGGGTGGTGAACAATGTGACACTGAATATAGACAAATCGTCAAGGCTTTTTTATGCAAAAAGGGAAGTAACCTACTGGCAAAAAGGATCAGTTACAAAAAGACCAGTAATCAGGGTTGGAAACTGGATTATAGAAAGTCTTTGGCCTTAGTGATTCAGCAGGGCTTGCAATAAACAATACAAGCTGTTGGATAAAGCTGGGTATGTGGAAATGTGTATAGGCACGATGATTCAGACAGGCAAGATGATTCAGAGAGCTAAACTGTTGAATGAGACCCAAGTCACAAACAGACCATGGTCGACCTTGTGCTTCAATAGACAGAGGTGCAGGGACCACTTTTGAACTGGCTAGTATGAAAAAAATTATCTAACAAATGTAAAGCTATTTAATATAATCAAAGAAAATCTGTTGATGGAAAGTTACTGTATTTGAACTCAAAATTTAACTCAGTTTCATCCTACAAGCTAGCATTTTACGGAGTTCTCATTATCCCAAAATGGGAAACTTAGAATTTTATGAAATTTATTTGTATTTTTAATTTGATTCAGTGACTAGAGAGTAATTTTTCATGTAGATGTTTTCATAAAAGGCAAAATAAGCAATATATTGATAATATTTGTGTGAAAATTGGAAATGACTATGTGAGAGCTGATGGCTTAATATGAGCTGATGCATAATATGCTCCAATTTTGTGGTTTTATGGTTATCTGGTTTAATGCAGGAATTAAGCTGAAGATTTCAGAGGAATGTATAGCTTCTAGGTATAGTGATTAGAAATTTGATTTGGGCATTTACCAGAAGCTAAGAGATGAGACGGAAATTGCTGAGTGATGAGACGGAAATTAAACTAGATATTAGTGTTTTGGACAATAGATGGCTTTTCATGTAACTGCCTTAATGAACCTGTCAAAAACCACACCACCAACAAATTTATGGAATAATTTTTGACTAAGTGTTTTCCTAGACAGGAATGAGTATCATTATCTAGCATTAGTTGCCCACTTACTGTGTGTCATACATAATGTAAAAAGCTTTATAGAAACTACATAGGTAGGTTCTCAGAACAACTGGAAATTGTTTCACTCCCCCACTTTACAAAATAAATATTTGCCTGATGTGTCACAAATAGTAATTAGACACTAGACATTCTGACTCTGGAACCCAAATTCTTAGTCACTAAGCTTTCTTACTCTTGCTTCACCTACTTCTTGGATGGTTCTAGAAAGGTATTTTTATCTTCCTTTTTGCTATGACTAAAGAATGTAGGAAGACCTGGCTTAAGAGTAATATTAAATAGATTAGGCACAAATTGCAAAGTGTGTGCGTGTGTGTGTATAAGAGAGAGAGAGAGACACACACAGAGAGAGAGAGAGAGAGAGAGAGAGAGAGAAAGAGAGAGAGAGAGAGAAGGAGATTGGACTGTCATTGAAAAGAAAACTACAAACCAGGAGCTACAAAAACCTACAAAACCAGGAGCCCATTTTATTGCCTTTTAATATAGGAATTAACTAAAAAAATCTTAAATTATATAAATTCCTTTTAAATTGAAGATTCCTAAGAGTGGAGTTTTGTTTCATTTTTGTTTACTAGTACTATCAATTGGCTATAGAGAACATTATTTATGTTATAGCACAGAGAAGCAAAAAGTATAATAATTATGAGCGTAGACCCTAAAGCCAGATTTTCTGGAGTCATATCCTGGGTCTGTCAGTTTTGTGGGCTCCTGTAGGCCTTACTTTTCTCTTTTCCTCCTACATCAAGGACCATGAGGATTAAATGAAACAATCTGTATGAGGCATTTATCACAGTGTCAGTGACTTTTAGCTTTTATCATAATGAGGAATTTTTGATTTATTACTGGAGTATCATTTCTGGTGGCTTTTTTTAAAGTTAGATTTTGTTATGAATGATAGCAATGGAGTTTCTTTTGCTGATTGATTTAAGAGCAAAATGCACTCTATAGGCTGATGAGACTGATACATGATTTGGCGTGCATCTGCATATACAAATCAAATGAGCTTTGGGGGTCCTCTTCAACCTTGTGGGTCTGTTTCTTTCTTTCAAGTGGCCTCTTTTTTCCATTCCTGCAACTTTTTCTTCAAAAATGTGATTGTTCACTTGATTCCACTTGTAAGAATGAAAGAAGAATGCTTACTAACTTATGTGCTCATAGACCTCTTAATAGACCAGTTTCACTTTTGGCTACAAATAAACACACTAAAACCAGACAAGTAAGCAAAAGAAGCATGTTCATTTTTAAACAAAACAATATATTTTGAAAAATTAAATAACAATATATTTAAAACTATAGTGAAGGAGTTGCTAAAAAAAAAAAAAAAGCCAGGGCCTCCCTGGTGGCGCAGCGGTTGAGCGCTGGGTTGCGAAGCTGCCAGCAGCCTCTGCAGCGCCGGTTAGATTCCCAGCCACCAGGCGAGGGTACCACATGGCGCGCAGACCTCTCCTGCCGCCCGCTGCTCCCCTCAGCAGTGTACGTCAGTCCTTCTGCCTGCTCTGCTCTCCCCTCTGGCTCTGGTGAATTCTCTCACCCTCCTGTGCTTCCAACTATACCCAATGCTTGTATAAATAAATAAATTAAAAAAATAAAATAAATAAAAAGATACCTGGGACTTTTTAAAAAAAAAAAAAAAAAAAGCCAGTTATTCCCTTATCTGCATTTACTCACCAATTCATTTATTTTGAATATAGTGGTTACAAATTTACCAGAGGTCACTGCATGCTATGCTGACTGTCTTGAAGAATGTAGATCTCTACAATCCATGAATCTTGCAGTGGGTGAGTCTGGGAAAATTTTGAACCTGAAAGCTGATGACAACAGAAGAATTGATGCAGTTTTGAGAAAATAACACAGGAAAAGTTTAAGACAGCATGTGATATTTTTCATTTTTCTTTCCAAATAATATGAATAAACATAAAAATAACCACAGCTCATTTAGCTCAGGCAGACTTAGATCATCTTCCCCTCCTTTGCTTCCTAAACACATGGAACTCCTTAGGACACAGATTTAATTTGATAGAGTACATATTAATGTGCTTAATTCTGCCTCTCTCAAATTAAACTTAGTGAACTTAGATTGTTTGGATGAATTAATTAGGGTCAAAGTTCAGAATACCAATTAATGTTAAAGGTCAAGGTACATACATAGGAAACACAAATTGTGATTTGACTTTAATAAAACTTCTATATAAAATCATGCAGAATAAAGTTTTTGATAGAACTGGTTATGTCCATGAAATATGAAAAAATAAAAAGTCATGAAGGTAAGGGAAAATAAAATTGTTCATTTGAAAAATTTATTCACTGCTAAATGCTACTATATGCTGGGTCTTGTGTTGCATATTTCTAAGAAAAAAATGAAGGTGATATATTCCTTATCATTAAGACAGTTATACTTCAGTGTGATATACACACAAAGAAAAAAATTATATTTTAAATAGGATGGGAACAGGACATGATCTCCTTTTGTTGAAATTTTGTTATATTTTACAGGAAATGAGATTGTATGCTATGCCTTGAAGGGATGTTTTTGTTTTTGTTTGAGTCTCCTAATCCTTTAATGCGTTAACATAGTCTAAAGTGCGTGTGTTGTTCATGAGTGGGAATAAAATATTAGCTTCAGAAATCTCTAAGATATAAATATGCATGGTAAAAGTTCAATGGTTACACTTAAGAAAGAATGAATAGGGCCTCCCCTGGCGGTGCAGTGGTTGAGGGTCCCACATGGTGCGACAGACCTCTCCTGCCATGCCTGCTGCTCCCCTCAGCAGTGTATTTCGTCAGTCTGCCTATTCTGTTCCCCGCTCTGGCTCTGGTGAATTCTCTCACCCTCCCGCACTTCTGACTGTACCCAGTGCTTGTATAAATAAATAAATCTTAAAAAAAAAAGAATGAATAAAGAATAATTGTATATCTGTTACAAAGGGGGAAATTAGAGTAGAAAGAAATTAAGAAAAACCCTGACACTAA